AAATAGCACATGACGTACTAGTTCTCAAAATTATCACAATTTCATGAGTTCTCAAAAGAAGGTCCGTATATATAGTCATAGGTTCGCCTGAGAAATGGTAATTATTTGAGAAGTAAAGAAGTGATCTTAGTCCTTCATCTAGTCAAACTGGATGATTCTTTGTATGTCATGCAGAAGATAGATGAGTAATTGATAGGAGCTTAACATACCCTCAGACATGGCAATTAGGACCAAAAGCAAGTTTACATATAGCGCTAATATCGTCTTTCAAGTAACAAAATGGTAAAAGTACCGGATATCATCCACAGGGATTGTAGTAAAAACATAGTAAAGGTATAGTGAAGGAAATGACTTCAGATGACGAATTTTGAAGACTTCGAATTTTGTATCATGGGCGTCCCTCAACCATTCAGCTTTCTTTCATTGTAAACAATTATATTTCATTTTGCACTATATCATGAGAACCTCTTAATTATACACTAAGGGGCTGTTTGACGGTTGCTGAATGGTTTGGTGCAGAATGGTTAAGTGATCAGAATGGTTAAGTGCTGAATGAAATAATATTGTTTGGTAACTGTTCTCTGAATGACAACAAATGACCATTTTAACCCTCTATATAATTTAGTACTGAATGAAATATAGTTGTTTGACAGATATCTGAATAAAACAATTATTTTGCAAATATAACTACATATTTCATATTACTCCAAACAAACGTAACATTATTAGTTCAAAACAAGATTTCATATTATTCCAAACAAACATGATTTTTCAAATTCAGGAATAAACAAAAACATAACAATCAAATTCCAACATAATAGTTTTTGAATTATTCTTAATTTTACGGATTTAACATTCACTTGTTCGTAATCTGGTTACACAAATTAGCCATGTATTGATTGTTTTGAGTACCAAAAGGCCTTCCATTCCATCCATGTCATCTTCTCGATGTGGGTTTCGACACAGAAGACAAAATATTCAACGTTTTTGACCGAAAAACACCCAAATCCGCCATGGATGTCAACTGAGAACTCAAAATTCCGAAAGTTTCATTGGAGAAATCAGGTTATTTCATTGTACATGTCGAGTTCATCTCTTCCAAAAACGCAAAAACAGGTTTAAGGTACGAATTCTGTAAGCATTTTTAGGTAATAAAAACAGAAACTTCAATTTTTTCTCTAAACCCCATCTAACAAGAGAATGATGAATGTTCTCCATTGCAGCAACTGTAAATCTTGAAATTTCTTCTTGATTTCCAAAACATGAATTCTAAGCCATTTTTCCACCATGGGGCGTATGAAGCATGCAACCCTCTATCTCCCCTCCTGCTCGCCTCAATCCCCTTTCTATCTACACAGAAACCCTTTCAAAATTAAAAATCGAAATCAAAATTTAAAATTTCAAATACCAAAAATAGGATTTAGTGTTCTTCGATTCTTCCCAAGAAATCGGTGTTTCTAGCCTTTAATCGATAATTCTAGGGTTTACGTTGTGAATACAGACGGTGAAGAATACGTGGTGTTATCTTCGATTCGTCCTGGTACATTTGCAAATGTTGAATCATGTTGGGGGTACTCCCAGAGACATTTGCAGTGGCTCTGGAGTTGAATCATGTTGATGGAGACTTAAGATTTGCAACAGTTCATGACCTGCAACCGGTAAAAAACACAAATTTAAGAAAGGAGAAGAAGAAGAAGATAAACAGATAATGGTGATAGGAGGCGATGGAGGCGTGAGAGTGAAGGGTAAATAAGGAACAAAATGGATCTGAACCATTATGCAAACCCTTAGATGCTAAATCGTTAAGAGATAATTGTCACCATTAAGAGGTTCGATTTTTTATGTCAAACAACCCCAGCCTCTTACCGATTAAGAGATTCCCTCTTAATGTCACCATTAAGAGGCTACCAAACAGCCCCTAATTCATTCAACAACCGTCAAACAACCCATAAAAATGATCAAGGACCTAAATCCCTTTTTACACTTCACACTTTAGCTCCTATTTTCACAAAATCCTTATACATGAATTTATAAATACTAGAAGGGTACTCGCACAATGCAACGAGATACAAATCAATTTTAATATTTCTTTTTTTTATCTCAGTCGATATTATAATTAAGTGTTTTGTTATAACTCAATGATTATCCTAATTATATTTTAGCGTTTTTATATTTAAAATGAGATGTTTATCATGTATTTGATTATGTTTATCTGCAGTTAGTTACACAAATTCAAACATGAAGTTTTAATAAGTTGTACTTACGCACAAGTTACCTGTAATCTTGAATTTTAAGTAATATGCATCAATAAACAATACTTTATGCATAAAAAATGGTTTTTAAGAGTTTTTGTCAAATGCTTTATAATCCATACTATATTATAAAGCATTTGACAAAAACTTTTAAAAACATTTTTTATGCATAAAGTACTGCTTATTGATGCATATTACTTAAAATTCAAGATTACTGGTAACTTGTGCGTAAGTACAACTTATTAAAGCTTCATGTTTGAATTCGTGTAACTAACTGCAGATAAACATGATCAAATTTCGGATAAAGATCTTATTTTAAATATAATTTTTTTTAAACATAATTAGGATAATCATTAAGATATAACATAATTTTTATTTATTATCCTTATAAAAAATTATATTATTAACTCAAAAGTAAAAAAATGAATCAAAGAAATACACAAAAAAAAACAATAACTTTTAAATAGTTAATTTGATACTAATATTGATATATTTATTTTCGAAATTTTATGATATATTTAAATTTATATTTTATTCAAAAATAAAAACATAAAAACCGTATTATAACGTCTCCAGAGAAGGAATAAAACGAAACATTAAAATCGATATATATATATATATATATATATATATATATATATTACTGCATTATGCAAGTACACTTCTGGTACAATATAGATATATTTGAGACAAAGTCTAACGTTTTTAATTCATTCAAAGAAAATGACGTTTGTAGCCCCATGCATCTATTTTTAGAATATTGAAAAACCTTGTTTGAAAAAAAATAAAGTTTATTTTTTAAATATATTTGTTGAATAGTTGTTACATAATATTATTTAAGTTTGTTTGATAAGTTAATTTTTCGTGAGACCCATAAGACATACGTATACACAGAGTTTTCAGACAACGATTTTCTTTAATCTCGTCAAATCTTTACAGCTAAAGACCGCAACTTCAAAGCTAAGAACACAGAACTTCTACGAAAACAAAACATTCACCAAACCGAAACTTTACATGAAAAACGCAATAAACATTATAAAAAAAAGAGCCCACTTACATGAAAAGCACATAAAATACGTCCGCAACACGTCTCATGCTCTCGTATCCATCGGAACAAATATACATAAATACAACGTAGGCTAAATGCACCCCTATATATATTGCTAAAAACACACCTATATCCTAATTTTCTTCTGACATGCATCAACATCAACATTTATTTAATCTGATTTTGACATAAACAGATGTGCATACAACAATACCCATAAATATAAATCTTGTGAGTTAGTTCAATTGACAATAAGGCTTGAACTTTTGAAGATTCTCCTTAGAGGTCACCGGTTCAAATCATGTAAAATTACCAGAGATTTTCCTTACTGTTCTTCAGAATCTCTAAAATTCGTCAAGCGAGCACAAATTGGTTCAAAAACCACAGGTAAAAACAAAAGCAAGCACATATATATATATATATATATATATATATATATATATATATATATATAACTTGGTTCAAATACTAACCAAGATTTTTGTATTAACTTTGTTTACCAATCTTGATCATTGATTCTTACAATAAAGGGTTGTGATTAATCATGATAAAAAATTAAAATTTTAAATTTACAATTTCAAAGAACATATGTGAACAAAAGGGAAAAGGGTATTTAAGTAATTTTCTTTTTTATGTAACTCCTATATCATTAATTGGGAGTTACAAAATCAAAAAATCTCATTATTTTTATTAATTTATTTTTGTTAATGTAAGAACCATATGAACACACACACACACATATATATATATATATATATAACCATTGTATTAAATACGAACAAAAATTGACATATATATGAACTTGGACTGTATAACATTTATGAATACAATATGAATATAATAAGAATAGTTGTTACACGAAAGTAAATAAATAAATAAAACAAGTATGAACACAATATGAACAGTTTGTGAACAATAGTTCCTTCATTATGAACACATTCAGGAGCAAGTCAATGTTGAGATATGCAGCTAGTGTACATNAGTTCCTTCATTATGAACACATTCAGGAGCAAGTCAATGTTGAGATATGCAGCTAGTGTACATATGAACACAATATGAACAGTTTGTGAACAATAATTCCTTCATTATGAACACATTCAGGAACAAGCCAATGTTGAAATATGCAGCTAGTGAACATATGAACACAATATGAACACTTGTGAACAATTCTTTAACAATTACATATGAACTCGAATTCCGATTGTAGTCATAGACGATTTTAATCTTTTCATTCTCATTGTTGTCGATCTGTTTTTCAATAGATTTATCCATATTACTCGGACGATATCGAAATCTTTACAATCGGAAATTCTTTAACAATTACAAAATCAATATCATTATAGATAGAATAAATCAAAATTACAAAATATGAACACGTATAAAAAAATATCAATATTACATAATCATCAATTATTGAGATTTTTATATTTGTAACTCATAAATGATAAATTTCTTAATTACCTTTGTCATTAATATATGAGTTATATGTGAACCTAAAGAAAAGATGTTGGTTGAGCTTGTGTTAACAAAAATCTTGGTTAGTATTTGAACCAACCTCTATATATATATATATATATATATATATGATGTTTTGTTTTATTTTATTTATAAAGGGTAATAGGAGGTGGTATTTAAGGGCCTAGCTAAACCATTTAAATAGCACAGCCTCTCAGGCCATTGAAGGGAGCTCTAACTAGAACTACTGGAAACGGAGGAGATCCAGAGCTGCAGCTACATCTGTTTTTGGTTCCCCTATATCTCTTCTCCGACGATATCGTCAACCTGTATAGCTAGATCCAGCTGCTATTCAAACTTCAATCAAGTTTTACCTCAAATTAATTGATTATATATACAAATTGGATTGATATCATCATCATCGAAGAAGAAGAAGAAGACGACATGGATAGTCGACGTTTCTTGTGGGAACGCAAGCAGCAAGTAGCACCGACTGAGGATCAGATTAACAAGGAAGAAGAAGTTGGAGATCGTGATCATGAGAGTCAAATTAGTAGTAGCTACAGATCAGACGAGTGGTCCAACTCTAACCTTCATCCTCATCATCAACAGATCGTAGGGTCTGCAACTCCTGCAGATGATATTTATGGCGGTTTCATCCCCCAACATTCAACGCATCATCTACCTCCTCCGTCGACGATGATAATACCTCAACCACAAAATCAACAACCTATTGCACCACCTGATGATCATCGTCAACAAGGTACCACCCGTTCCCTCCCTTGGTTAACTCTTCCCTGTAATTGTCTACTCACATCGTATCATTATTTGCCACCAACAAATATAGATAACTTAAAATTGATTGTTAGATTTTTAGTTCTATGCTATAATATACACGTATCTATCAGATTAATCTGACAGATTGATCGACCAAGGTTTTTCCGCCTGAACGAATATTTATTTTTGGGTATTAGTAGCGGTTCTACATCCCACTAAACCCTAAAAACATCCGCCGTTTTCTCTTTGGTTATGCTAACATATATATTTGTTTAAATTACCAATAATAATCTTCATCATTTCTGACTAGAATACATGAATTCTTAGTTTAAATCGTATGCGATTCATGCTATTTCCCTCCCAATTAACTGTCTCTCTTGTCCTTCATATATATATATATATATATATACACACACACACACACACAAGCATACATACAAGAATTGAAACTGTTCTTGGAAGCTATGTTTTTAGATTCAGAACAGATTTCTGATATATAATGCCAAGTGCTTCTGTGCCTGGTAAAATGTTGTTTCTACAAGTGGTATAATGTGAACGCATATATTGATTGAAGGACTTATCCATTTGCGCATATGCTGCAAGCTGCTGGTTGCCAGATTCAATGCACTGTCTGGCTACCTGCCTTATTTTTTACTTTCCGTGTACAACTCCGTTTGCCTCTTTCTCTCTCATATGCCCGCATGTTTATCACAAGACGCTTACGTGACAAAAATATTGGTTACAATCACTGTCATATAGATTTTATCAACAACTTTTTTATCCCCTTTTCCTTTTTTTGGTCTACAATTAATCTTTACTTTACCCAAACTATTGAATGGTTGTAAATCAAAGCATTTTTATCCAAATTCGAACTTAATTGTTTTTCATCAATGTGGAAAGCAAGCATTATATATGGTTTCATTAATTATAACTAGTTAAATTATACGTACATGTACGTATATGTATGTATATATATATATATATTATATTGTATATGTGCTGGTATCTATCTAAAGAAAGAGGTGGTATTTGTGCCACTTGGGATTCTAGAATGGGAACATTTGGCTTTGAACGACAATCAATATACATCTCACCTACCCAATATTCTTAAATTTGGAACCATCAATCCATTGTTACGTTGGTCATTTTCTATCTATCTAGGCCTCAACCCCACCCTCGCTGTCCCCTCACTTTTTTTGGCTCCTTTTTGCTCATCATAATCCATGACCAACAAATTGGACCAACACAAATAATGATCTTTTAACTTTAAGGATTTCTTTTACTAGGATCTTGATTGGTAAATCTTCACAAATCCTTCTATTTATCTCAACATCTTTGAAATTTTCATAAATCTTCATGAAATACTTATGGGCCGTTTACCTAAACACTTATCCGGTAAACACTTACTGATAAATTTAACACCATCATTTACTTACCGGAAGATTTTAGTCCACCAAAACGGTATCGTATGCAACAATTTACCCGGTAAGCGTTTACTTACCGGATAAGACTCTTAGTCTTTGTCTCGCTCTTACCGGATAAGATTCTTAATTCTTACTATATTCATTCGGTAAGGTAAAATGACTTAGGGTTCACTTACCCGAGTAAACGTTTGGGAAACGGCCCCTTGGTTGTTGGTACATATTTAGTTTAGCTATCAAAGAAAATCCATGGTATTAAACTTATACATATTTTATAAAGAATCGGTAAATCATATATGACGTACGTGTTTAAACTTTTATTATCCATCTATATTAACATATACATACATTTCTAGTAGTTGTCATGTGATTGATCCATCTCTAATGAAATCACTATATTCTTGCATCATATTTTCATCAATAATTGATACTACTTATATTTGTTTTGCTTTTTCGAAAAAGGAGTACATGTTTGATCGTGTAGTGAGTAGTACTGATGATACCTAATTAAAGCATTTCATTCACTTAATTTATACTTTCCTTGTTATCCATCGTTGACATAATGTTCTTATTTTTCCTGCTCTATTCTCATTGAAAATCAAAGAAGTCTAATGAAAAGTCAACATAGTCGGTAACATATGAATTTATTTTTGGTAAGAGAATATTTTAAGGGGTGGGCTAGCTAAATTCACATCAACGTTAAAATTCACTTTTTTACATTTCCAATGTACGAATTAACCCAATTTTGACATTAAAGGGGTGCAACTAGCAATGATAAATCACCTACTAATTTCATTCTCACATATCAACATTAAACTTTACTTTTTACATTTTCAATCTATGGTCTAATTTGATTCCAATATAAATAAAAGTGTATATAGCATTACTCTAATTGAAATAAGGGAGAGATTATTATATGCACCCCTTTAATATCAAAATTAGGTCAATTCATGTATTAGAAATATTTATCATTTTTAACAAAATATATACTTAAAAACAATTTTTTAATAAATAAGTAACAGATTGGTGTTAAATTAACGAAATCCTACATTATGAAAATATTTGTCACTTCCATGCAAAGCAATTACACTGAGTTAAAATAACATGTAATTACAAGTGAATATTTATTTAGAACCTTTCCTACCAGGCATGTAAATTTGTAATCAATTACTATCCGTATTTTTCTCATGTTACAACGAAATTATTTATATGAAGTCAAAATATCATAAGAAATTATTTTCTAAGACCAAATAATTGTATGTAATATGTTCAAATATTACAATAAATTTATTGGATGTTTTTGTATGACTTTATATTTTTAGTACATTTTTAAAATAAAATTTCGTATTATAATCTTTATAAGACACTTTGAAAATATGGTCTATAAACATATTTTTTATTGGATACTTGTTTTTATCATACAATTTTTTTCAAATAATATGATATAAAAATCTAATAGTACATGTACTTTATTTCAAAAGTATTGTAAAAAAACATGTTAATTAAAGCATCTAAAAAATTTCAATAAATTTATTTTAATCAACACATTTACATTGAAATATAATTATTTGGTCTAAGAAAAATCGTATAATAAAATAATCTATTATAACATTAGTTTATGCATTTGTTACATCATATAAACTCAATTTTATAGTATCATTACTGATTAATAAACCATTTGATGATTAAAAGTTGTGGTGGAGGGATCAATATAGTAAATTAAACAAGCATAGTTTGTTAAATCATTTTCACTTGTTTTTCGTTTTCTATTTTTTGGATCTCATGTATACCTTCTCATGCTATACAAAACTATTTTCAAATTAAAAATCTTTGGTAGTACATACATGGTAAGTAAGTAAGTTGTTCATTAATGTTTGGTTAATTATAAGTTTATTAAGTCGGAGTGGTTTATCGAACGCTTACCCGGACACTCCAGCTTACTTTACCGGATAAGATTGTAGTCCATCAAAACGATATTATATGCAATAATTTATTCAGTAAGTGCTTACTCATTCGTGTTTATCGGGCAAGTATTTAGTAACTTCACTTAGTGATTGGAAATTTTGGATCTCGTCAATTTTCATATTGTCTAACATAAAACTCGATCACGACTTAGATTCTCGTCTTTGATAAGTGGTGCGCGATTTTATTGATGGGCGAGATGGATATTCGGGTTTTCATGCATTAATTAATAACAAATTATTTTCACTTGAGGAATTGATTAAGAAACTGCGAAGATAAATAGAGAGCATAAAGGGTGTTTAATTAATTTGTCTTGTGTTTCATATATATAAATTAAACTAGCTTAGCTAGCTATAGGTTATTATAGTAACTAATTTGTATGGTTTGAATCAGAAACAACTAGTACTGTTCGAAGACATTACAGAGGAGTTCGGCAAAGACCATGGGGAAAATGGGCAGCGGAGATACGGGATCCCACCAAAGGTGCACGTGTTTGGTTGGGTACATTTGAAACAGCGGAGGGTGCAGCCCTTGCTTATGATCAAGCCGCACTTCGCTTCAAAGGTTCCAAAGCCAAACTCAACTTCCCTGAACTTGTAATTCAAGGCCACTCCGAGCTCCGTTATATCACCACTCCAAGTAGTAGCAGCCCTAATTCACAACCACCACCAGCAGCAGCAGCAGCAGCAGCAGCAGCAGCAGCAGCAGCTAGTGGTGGTGGAAGGTCAAGGCCTCCAGAGGAATTAGCCATAGCCACCAATTATCCAGATCTTGTTCAGTACGCCCAACTTCTTTCCAGCAACGATGCCCAATTCCCTTACTTCACCTCAGCTCTATATCGTCAGCATCCTAATTACCAATCTTCTTCTACTTCTAATGCCTCCTACTACAATCTTGATTACAATAATCCAAGGGATCCAGCAGGTGGGTCTGATGCAAGTTTAGAACAGTGGAAGGAGGGCCGTGATCCCAACCAGAAGTGAGCAGCATGGATCTGTAGTGGTAGAATAAATGCATTTTCAATGGTCATTAAATGATCGAATTGCAAGCTCAGGTTATGGTTATGGTCATGGGCATGCAGATATGAGTTCACAAATTAATTTCATTTGTTTTCTTAATTTGTACCGCTCCTTGGGATTAATGATTGCTGCTAATCATTTTCAATATATGTTTTTATTCATCATTATTTATTTACTTATATATATACTGGGCTGGGCTGTTATTGGGGCAGCCAATTTTTTTTTTGGGGATATGTAGTTCAAAAAAATTAATAAATAAAGATAAATAATTTTTTTAGTGGTCTAAACGTGTATTAATTAAATTTATTGGAAAAAAAAGTATGTAAAAAAAATTAATTGGTTGTTCATTTTATAGTATTATTTAGGAAAATGTTCATAAAAACCCAACAAACTATCTCATTGTAAATGATTCCGTTTATGAACTATTTTTTTGCTTTAAAAACCAAATTTTTAAATGAATAAGTTTCTAAATTATTTTTTTACATGAAAAAACTATTAAACTTTCTTATTTTAAATGATCAAGTCTCCAAACATATTTATTGTAATAGATAAACCATCGAACTTTTAAAATTTTGTTACCTATATCAATTTTTAACAAAAGAAACCTAAATTAGTTTTATTGTTTGCAAACTTTACGCCTTTCAAATCTTTCGCAAACAAGAGTATCACTCCCCTTCACCACTCTTTTTTGCCCCCATCATTGTCTGTTCTTTATATCAGCCATCATATTGTTGGCCTCTGCCATTGATATCCTTTTTTTTGGATCTATTTTTTTTTTATTAACCTGTATATTAAACCCGATATGTGAGCCGACTAACCTCATGGCGACCATTTGCTTTGCAGGTAACCTGGAGTCACCGCATTTGAACCTCCGTGGCCACAAGAAAATTTTTATTTCTCATTGTATTTGAACTTGGGACCTCCAGACACTTTTAACCTTTAGAGTCAAGCTCAAACCAATCAGCCACCACCCTGTTGACCTTTGGTCAACAATAACTCTGGACTTACCATTACATCAGCCAATTTCTTCTAATACGAACACGTTTCATAGAGTCAGTGCATTTACCATTACATGTTTTGTTAACCATTAAGTGAACAAAATCATCCCAAAAAAAAAACAAGATGAAACAATTTCATCAAATATTGTTGATAAGAAAACAAGATTATGTAAGAATATTATATTACGCAACCAGTTCATCCCTAAAAGTTTCATAAAACAAGCTTCTCAATGAACGTTTTCACGAACCAATCTGCATACGTTTCATAAAACAAGCTCCTCAATGAACGTTTTCACTAACCAATCTGCATATGTTAGATAAAACAAGCTCCTCATTGAACGTTTTCACGAACCAATCTGCATACATTTCATAAAACAAGCTCATCAATGAACGTTTTCATGAACAAATCTAACATGAATCTGTTTCACAGCTGATTATATTTTTACCAGTTCATGAATCTTTGTTTGGATCTATTACTGATTTCGTGGATTAATGAATATAATAATTTTTGATTTTCATATTATTACCACTAATAAACCGAGAAACCAAATAATAATATTCAATTTTTAAAATTTTAATTTAAATAAACATTTAAATATTACCATTTATAAAATTTCTTTTATTATGTTATCTTAATTAATATTTATTAATAACTTCCATATTTAATAT